TATTGTCAGCCAATAAAACTGTGTCTCCCTTCAATGTTTGTTGCCACTTAGATGGACCTTTGCTGCCCTTTTTACCAACTGCTGTATAGATATCATTGTCATAAAGATAAGAAAGCTTAGAGAGAGTCTTGGGGACATTGCTATGATGAAACTGGGGAAATGGGGGTAATTATAAGAAATATCATCAATACCATATTCAACATTAATAAGTGATGCACAGTCCTAACAGAAAATGTTCACTGTTGGTGATTTAAGCATTTTCTCTCACCAGTGAGAAACAGCTCTAGTGTGCTGTTAGCTCGGCTTGGGCTGCTGTAAGAATTTCACAAAAACCTCGAGCCACCAAAACTAAAATGTAAAACATGATCGAAGAGCTTTATTAAAACATAAAATATGCTTAATATACGACATCTTAATTATTTCAGTAACAAATTTATTTGTAAACTTGCTTCTATGTTATTTAATTTCCAAGCAGACTTAAATAAAACATGTAGAATGATACCTGCTAGTGTTTTTCTCTCACATATTTCCTGATTTTAGATATGGAAATTAATATAATGACTGTAAGGTACAAGACCAAACACAATAACAAAAGCTGTTATAATACTTGATTTAAATACTTAAATCTGCTCAGGTTGTGGTCAGTCCAGGATTAGATCAGCAAAATAATCAAACTGGGTTGTTTTTAACCTAGTAAATTCTATAGTACAACTGTGGCCACTTTAGAAACTGTATTAAAAACAGAGTTTGCATGAAGTTACAGTTCATGTCAAGAATATAATGGCCTAACTGCCTGTGTTTGTATCTTGAACCTCATTTTAGCAGTTTGCCGAAACAATTAAGCATCATTTCTGAGACAGGATTCATTCTTAGAGGTGAAATTAAAGGGGATTGAAGTGGTCACCAGAGCAGGCTTCGGTCACACTTCAGACATTAGTTCTGCATACCGTTTAAGTTTTCATGGGAGCTGTACACCCACTGTCATTAGCATAGAGCTAATTAAAATGAGATAGAAAACCAGTCCCACTGAAATATCAAATATTAACTTGACTGTGACTTGCAGGATCCATCATTTGATAGACACCATAATTAAGATAATGAAATTTGAATGTGTTAGCAGTTCTATTTAAAACACTGATACTGAGAATGTTTTGGGGCAGCAGTCTAATTTAATTAAATGTTAAGGGTTTCAGTTTTGTCATAATTAAAGTGTTTTAGGAAATTTTGCCAATGTGGAAATGGAAAGAAGACATGTGTTAACAGAAGCAGAGGTGAGCCACCCAAGTTTGTGAATCTTGAGCAGCGTCCTCCAGTTCTTCCTGTGAAAAAGATAATTGGAAATCCAGTCCTTTCAGAGATTCTGGCGTTGTCCTCCAAGCCTTCTTCCCAGCTGGCTTTGCCTTGCATACGTCTCAAGAACAGAGAACATAGTGAATCCTTATCAGGTTTCTAAGCCACCTGAACTGATGTGACCTGCAGAGCCCCATGGAGGAAGCCTCCCTCGCTGAGCTGTGCACTGAATTCTCATTTATGAAAACAACAACCAGGACAAGAAAGACGGTGGGGCTTTTCATGAGTCTGGCATCAATGCTGAACAGGTCTGACTCAGTGCTTGGTATGGAAACACTGCTTTCTGTAGTCCCACAAAATATCCCAAGGAATTCAAACTGTTTCCAGCTTATGTTTAAACTGCAGAAGCAAAAGTCAAACTGATTTTTATGAAAAGCTCTTCCACTTTACTTTAAAATTGAACAAACATCCAAGAGTATGGATCGATCACTGCAACAGGGAACAGAGAAATGGCATCAACCCACATGGAAAATAGATTTTTTTAGAGTTAATTTGTTTTATATAATAAAGCAATTTTTTCCCCTCATTATTGAAACTCATATTGAAAACAAATATGTCCATCTGCACTATCTGAGTACTGAAGAAAAAAAAGTGGATGACTGGATAATACCTGGTGTGAAAAGTCTACTGTAAGTGGGTGCTGAAAATTATATTACAATTTCTGCTGAGGTGGGAGGGGCGGGGGGGAATAATGGAGATAATAGAATATACATGAACTGCTAATGTGGAGAGACTGAGAGCCAGATTTAGTGGCAATTATTAAACCGAAAGCGGCACGAATCCGGCACATTAAACAGTTCCTTTTCTGTGATGCATCCAAAACAATTTCTTGCCTGAGTAGCCATACATGCTTGTTCGGCAATCTGATTAAGATGACTCTCGGTCAGGAAAGAGACAGGAGATGGTATCTGCCTGCTCTCAGTACACCCCCTCTCCCTTCCCTTTTTTCTGTCAAACTTCCTATTCCGACTAATTTTAATAACTCTCATCTAAAACAATAACTCTGAAATTTAACTTTCCATGCATGTAGTGAATGCACTTTTTTCTGAGAAACTGGCTATTAGAAATGCATGAAAACTACTACCATAACCGCTTTTTAAAAAACTGATATTCACGGTGAAAAATATTTGTAAACCACTTTTAATTGGATAATGCATGAATGTATGAAGGGGCTTTGTGTGCATGTAGCATACTGTGGTATACAGTGAAGAGGAATGCATTGACTAATCTAAACAGACCTCATTTGATCTAACCCTAAAAGCTTTCACCACTAGGAATTAAAAAGTAGGCTAAAACCTAACATGAATGTCTAAATAGTCGACCCAGACTTGCAGCACTACTCAGAGCAAAAGTCAGACCTGTTGTGCCTCGAGGCAATTCTGGAAGTGGCAATCTGAAGTTACAGATGTGACTGTTGAATGTAATTAAACCACTTAAAGGGAACTGTTGTTTTCAAATGGCCTGCAGGATAAAGATACTAATTGCTTTCTTTGAAAGTCCATCAAAAATCTGTTACTAGTTTAACATTTTTTCATAAAGAAACTTTATTCAGGAGGGAATGACTAAATAACTGACTCAAACATGAGTCAAAGACTTTTAAACAAATAGGAGAGTTTAACAATGTAATGAGCAAATGAAAAGGATTTACATTAAGAAATTGTATCTCAAACTATAGAGAAGCACTGCCGTTTGCCTTTACAGGCAGATAAATTGCATCATCACAGGCAAACAGCTGAATGTAATGTGCTTTTAAAGTAAACCCAGCCTCAGTGCAAGAGCTTGATTATATAGATGATCTGTAGAGCTCTTCCGTCTTCAGGTGACTTTAGGTGGTGCAGTGAGAGACTTGACTCCACACACTACCTGCCATCACTCTTCAGCTGATGGTGTGTTCAAAGGTGATTACTTACCCTGGAGAGACTCTGTATTTCCAAGAAATTACATATTGCAACATGTGTAACAGAACTGAAACAAGTATTCAACAGGGTGTTATAAAAATAATCTTACTATAAATGGCTTACATTACTTTTGTGTGTAGTTGAATTACAGGTCAGTGTTTTTTTTTTGGCTCTTATTTATGCTCTCATACCAAATGATACATAAGAATGAATCCATCTATTTTACCTTCTTCAATATCTAAGGCTGTACATTGCATATAATGTGCCCTTTATTACACTGCCATGGATCAGCAGACCACATGAACTGAACTGAGGCCTCATTAATTGTAGGTAACACATGTGTCTTTATTATAGTGACAAGTAAAAATGTCTCACTAGAAAAAGAGACTTCATAACCCTAGCTAAAGACTAGGAGACTAAAATAAGTCTCCTTGAAAAATTTATCGTTTCCAGGTTTATTATTGGAGCCTTAATGTAGCCAACAGATTTAATTACATCTACTCTGGTTTTATATTTTGACTCCAGTCAATTTCTTGATTTTTTTTAGAATATGCCTTGGTATTCCAATTTTGTACATTGTTTTTGGTATTTTCTACATTGCTGAATCTTTCTCAAGTGTCCTGCATTTACTGAAGAAAAAGGAATGGCATAAACCTTGCAAGGGCTCTAGTAAGGTATAAATTATGGCAATAAAAGTCAAAATTCTTGCAAAGCAGCTAAGATGAAAATTGTTGAAACATAAATTTTAATATTGTTTATTCTAAATTTGATTTCAGTTGTTTTAACATTTGTCAGAGAATCTCATGAATGATCATCATAGTCCTTATATTATGGGAATTGACTTGATATTAAACATACCCAATGTCAATTTTGGGTGTATGTAAATAAATATTTGAAGTGGAAAAATCACAGGACCTTATAAGAAAATAATGCTTTTTATTGGTCAACAATGAATAACGGATCTAGTGACATAAAATTTACTGCAAATGTCAGTCACAAACCAAGTAATCTACACATACAGGGGAAAAACACTGAGTTCATAAATTAATGCATAAAAAAGTTGACTACACAGAAATAAATCATACTTTGCAGGTTCATGGTGAAATTATGTTGCTTCTATTTCCAAATTATGGACCAAATGGGAGTAGCAGAGGTTTAGAAATACAAATATAACCAATACTGTAAGTATGTATTGAAACAACATGGTGGCAAAGGTCTAGACATAGCTTGTTGTCTTAATTCATCATGATTTTTTAAATCAATCTGTTTCTCAGAATACCTCAATAATGAAAAACCTTTTTACAGACCACCATTGGACTAAAATGAGAAATACTCATTCTAACATGGTGTGTATTTATTTTTTGTACATGCAAAACCTGAACAAGAAAAATCTCACAAGACTGATATTTTAATTTAGTGGCATCTGGGTCTTGAAAGACAGACATGTTTTCTTTAATTCAAATGTTTCATATAAAACAGCAGCTAGTACTAATGCACTTGGCTCTGATCCAGTGACAGTGCTGCAAGTACTTAACTCCCACACACACATGCACAAATTCACAGACTTTCTCACTATTTCTCTTTCTTACACCGATAAGACCACAGAACTAGATACACAGGTCCTAGATACTTTCTATTTTAGTGATCATAATTATTTGATGGTGGAGCTTCTAGTTTCTCAACCACCCCTTTGTACACACGATCTAGCTGTGAATAATTTAGCATGAGGAGCTAAAAAGGTAGGTCCCTTAAAACAGCAGGTACACTCAAACTCTGGGGGCAGGACACAGAGCCTTTTTCATCCCAACTTTACATCCACCCACTCCTTACACACGGCTTTTCAGCCGGACTCTCTTCTACCAAGCTGGAAATCAGTCCAATATTTTAATCCATCACTCCACACAGTCACCTCAGCCCAAGGCAACATCGAGTCAAACTAGTGCCAAACATTCTGCTCAAGAAGGGTTTCGTAGATGGACTGACGCTTTCTCTGCACCTCATCCTCAGTCATCTGCCATGGAGGAATTTCAAAGGAAGCTGAACCAGCGCTATGAAGGCACCAAGCCCAGAAAGGCAAGTTATTTATGGAAATACTTTCTTCCAGGTTTATAGGTTTGAAGTGCTGAATCTGTCAGAGTAAAAAAATAAGCTCAACTGATTGTTATTTTTTCAGAAAAATTATCTAACATCTAAAATATCTGAAAAAATACTTGATATTATAACTAAGAATTAATTTCTGTTTGTATCTGATTTTGACAAAAAAGCTAATTGGAACAGAGGAATGAAGCTCAGCCTCGTGTGCATGCCCAGACCCCCACTCCTCCTTCAGAGACCAAACAGCTTTTTTTTTCACTTGCCTATCTTCTTCTATTTTAAGGCTGCCTCTTGCTAATGCTGCATCTTTTTAATGTCAGAAAGCTGCTGAGCAGAGGAGCATAATCACACCTTTTACTCCCTGAAACTGTAGGTGAGGTTCAAGCTGGCGTCATCCTACAGTGGTCGGGTGCTGAAACACGTGTATGAGGACGGACAGGAGCTGGAAAGTCCAGAGGAAAAATACCCTCACAGCTTTATCCACCGTAAAATCCCACCCAGCCACCTTGAGATGGAGCAGTTTTGCAGCTTTGAGGAGACTAATAGGGACGAACAAGGTGGGTTTTATAACTATTTTAGTCTGCTTGTAAACCACAGATATACTATTTAGTCAAAAATGTTTATGTTGATATGGGAGCACATGCAATACTTGCAGTTTGATTTTCATTTATTGATCTTTTGGATTATGAACATTCACATTATATTTGACCTATAAAAAAAATATTCACTCCCCACTTGTTCAACTGCTTAACATAAGCAGTGATTTATTAAATTAAATGGCTGCTCTTCGATGTATTTAGACATCTAGATATGGTAAAGGAAATTTTCTAAAGTTCACACTGAACTGGATGGAAAAGAAACGGGATTTAAGTGACTTTGAAGTGCTGAATCTATGAACAACTATGAACATGGCATAGTTGTTGACTCACTGTTCTGATCTGCTGGGATTTTTACACAAAACCCTCTGTTGGATTTATAAAGCTTGTTCTAAAAAATAGAAAATGTTCAGTGAGCTGTTGTGTAGATCAAAACGGATGTCAGGGGGCGTCGCAGTGGTTAGAGTGGACGCTCCGTCTACAGAGGCTGCAGACCGATGCGCCCGTCTCAAGTGGGAGTCCCGTCCTTGGTACCTTTACTACACGTCTTTCTTCCCTTCTCTCAGCCTCTTCCCTGTCAGATTATTGCTGACTAAAGGCCACAACTGCCAAACAACATTCTTTAAAAGCAAAAAAATAAATAGATAAAATGCATGCCAGAGGATATTTGACATGCTGGTTCAAGATGACATGAAGGAACAGTAGTTAAAATTACCACAGGGAAGGAAAGACCACTTATGGGATAAAACCTTTCAGTGAAGAACAGGAAACTGAGGCTACATAGCAACACGGCCTAATTGGAAACAGACTGAAAAGAGTTACATCATGTATCTATCCTACATTGTGCCAATACAGACATTTGGAAGTATCTCACAGGCCAAAGATTATTTTTGTGCAGGCCACATTTGGCGTGCAGGCTTGGGTTTGACGCATACAGTTTTAGAGCAATATGAACATTATGTTTGCACCAGAATTTGCCAGCTGAGTTGTGTTCATCTACACTTTGCCAGTTCAAGAATATTTCCATGTATCTGTCATCAAATTGTGTAGAGTCCAGTTAAAATGTATTCAGACCAATTTAAATTCAATTGCATGGTCTAATTAAATCCAGTTGTAATAAAAAAAAACAACAAAAAAAGTCAGATTCAGTTGAGCTTAAAATACTAATTATTATTGCCTCATAATGATACTTTTAACTATGCCAATAAACCAACTAGTCTCAATCAATCGAAGATCCATCAGACTCGTAATGCATCAAAAGTGATTAGAAGGATCAGTGATTGATATTTTTATTGTGCAATCTCAATAAGATAAATAGAAATCAATAAAAGAAAAGAAAATAAGTATAAAAACACAGCATCTGCATTAAATGTTTGACTAATTTACAGTCATATTTATAGGTATTAAAGAGGTGTTAAGGAGTTTTAAAAATGGTTTTGGACTTTTAAATGATTAAAATAAGATGTGAGGAGGATGGAAGACAAATTACATTTGATCAAAACAAAACGGGGATCTAACTCACAGTTCCACTTATATGAACAGAGTTATTCTTTGACCAGACTTGGAATTATCAGTGGAGAAAGAGAGTAGGCTTATTCAGAAGTAAACTTTGAAATAATGTATCTATCTTCTCCATATATATATATTTATGCTGGCATAAATTGCTGACATTGCACCAATCTCACATTCTGAGCAAGCATCCCATAAATCATTTGGGAAGCTAAATGCTCCTAGCTCTCTGGTCAAAAGACTTTGGGCAGTAATTTTACATTTTCTATGTTTTGCTTAATCTGCACATTAACTGCAGCAAAACTTAAGACCTAATAAATTAATTTTTACTTCCGTTGGAAATAAAAATGAATTAAAATGAGTCAATGGCAATAGTTAATCAAATTCGCTGAGTCGCAAACCATGACAGTCAATGAGAGTGTGCTAAACAAACTGTCATCACTTAGGAGAATTATGTTTTACTGAAGGGACATGAGAGAGAGAGAGACTCTGCTCCCTTGCAGCTCCGCATAGACAATACATGGAGGATTGATTTCACAATGAAAAAAATGATAATCTGTCTGTTTTAACCCGACTCTCATGTTTCTAACACTAAAACTATGTGATCAACGTAACACAGATGTGTTTTAATATGTCAGATTTTGATAGAATAATTTTGTTCAGTGATTCAATTTGAAAAGTGAAAATATTTGCACTTTAATGCGGACATGTCAGCCTAATTCAAAGTATCTCCATGTATTGTACACTTAAAACTTGGATTTTGAATGAATTACTGCGTCATTGCAGAGTGACATTGAGGTGATCATCCTGAGGTACTGCAGAGGTGTTAAGGAAGCTTAGTTGAGAGTTGTTTTAATAGCCTCCTTCAACTTGTCTGCATTATTGGGTCTGGTGTCTCTAATCTTCCTCTTGAGAACACCCAATAGATTTTCTGTGGGTTTTGGTCAGATGAGTTTGCTAGCCAATCAAGCACAGTGCAAGTATTGATACTTTTTACAGTTTGGGAAGGTGCCAAGTCTGCCTGGAAAAGAAAATCAGTCTGTGGAATCCTGGCTGATGGTTGGACTTTTACTCTCAACCTCAGCAACTTAAATTCTGCGCTTCTCTTCTTTCTTAATGTGGGATCTTCATTTCCAAATGAAATGCAAAATGTGCTTTTATCTAAAAAGAGCACTTTGGATCTTGTATTAATAAACTTTTCTGAAAAACTGAATGCATTAGTTATTCCCTTGAACAAACATGTGGAGCTGATTGCACCATGTCATTAAATCTGCAGGCTTCCCTCTTACACAGGAATGCATATGGCGAAAGTCAAAAGGAAAGATGACCTTTAGCCTTTGGCTTAGATGGGCCAAGTCACAACTGTACTTAAGTACAGTAACGAAGTACCTGTACTTCGTTACTTCCCATCACTGCCAAATGTATAGCAATATCAGATAATCAGACAAGCTCTGAGCTTGTAAAATATTGTAAAGTATAAAAAACATGATATAGTTACAGGTAAATCACCTTCAAATTGGTTTGAATGAGCCAATGAAGAAAATCTAAAAATAAGAGAAATATGACTTCTCCAATATATTTGTCAGTTTATTTTTGCTTTACATGTAAATTATACTAACAGTCAAGATAGGCTCCTTACATTTAAATAGGAAACACACACAAAAGGTGATCATAAGAACAGAGCAGCAAACTGAGAATTGAATAATTACTTTCTGATTTGCAATTGTTGATCTTCATGTTCCCTATTACTTTATTCCAAACCAGAATGCCACACACAGTTTATTAAATACAGCTTCATCTACTTAAATGAACAAGATGGTCGTAAAATACTCCATTAGTTGAGTTGAGGCTGATAAAATTAAATCAGATATTTTTAAAGCCTAAATAGCAAGAGGCAAATTAGGATTTGTGAGAGGGATACTGTATTTTTTAAACTTCTGATGCAAGTTGTCAAGCTATGCTAAGACTTCCCTTTGTTTTGTTTGCTTCACTCAGGTTTCTATCCAACAACAGGACTCATTGCCCAAAGAATAAATGTATACAGAGGGCTGAGAAACTACAAGCCTGCAGGTGGTCAGACTGTGGAAACGGAGGGTGACAGCAAGGTAATAAAGCTTGCTGTTTGGGATGAGAAAATGGAAGATACATTTCTTATTTGCCTGAATGTCTAAGGTTTTAAGCACTTTCTTGATTTATTTTCCTTTCAGGAATTTGTTACTGCAGATTTACCTTTGGTTGGAACTTACAAAAGTTTCTTAAGTGGTTTTAGGCATTTTAATCAACGTCCAATGAAATCAGATTTAGTTGCGCTAGAAAATCAACAAACCAACAAAGTAGAAGAATTGTGACATGAAACATTTTTAGAAGGTGTTATATTGATAAAAAAAATATGTATGAAGATGATAATAGACAAAGAGCTGGGACGAATCGGAAAAAAATCGAATATTTGTAAAAATCTGACTCTTGTACAGTGCTATAAAACAAAAAACTTCTAACACACCTTCAACTTTTACTATATTACAATGACACACCTCATTTTATTGGGATTTTGTGTGTTATATGAACATAAAGTGGTGCTTCCATCAGCTTTGTAAATATAGAGACTGACACTTTTGCCCAGTATTCTCTGTAAAATAGGAGTGAGAGCATCTGTGACCATCAGTTTTGGCAATGGTCACACCAAACACATTCTTCAATAGATTTAGAACTGAGCTTTGTCTGGTCCACTCCAACACATCGATATCCTTTGAACTATTTCATTGTACAGCTATAGATGAATAGAGGCAACATTATTCATATATTTGGCAGATGTACCAGTTTCACCAACATGATTCTTTGGACTGTAAGTAATATTAAAAGAGGGTTTTCTTTCTCTTTCGTTCATTTTTTATTTCTATTTTTCAATCGGACCAGTTTTACAATGAGGGAAGCAGCTTCATTAGTGCATCAGTCCGAAACAGAGGTCAGCCACAGCGCATTGCCTGCTGGATTCATGTCACTTTCATTGTTTCATCTTCCAAACACACAGATACACACAGATACACACAGAGTCCAACTGACCACATCAGAACTGATCTCAAATTGGAAGGCAGAACTCTTACATTACGTTATTAGTTTAGAGCATTACTGAGCTGGCATGTAATGACTGCATGGCAATATTTTTTAAATGCTTTAGTTGTTGTTCCATAATGAGATTTAGAGAAGATAATGTAAGAACCTTAAATGATTTGTAATTACTGAGCCTTTGTTGACAAGCAGCCATAAAACCTTGCATGCAACACAGACGGTTCCCTCTTATCTCTGATTGCTCATTCCAAGTGACAACATAAGATGTGTGCAGCATATAGAATAAATAAACAATTTTAAAGAAGTAAGGATCCAGCATTGTTGTCAGTATTAAGGATCAAAGGTTTCCTCTAAAATCTAATTATACTGCAGTAAGGCTTTCTAATAGAGGATTACTTGCTTTTCGATTTACCAAAAGCCCCATTAGCACAGCTGCAGTAACAAAGCTTGTTTTGTTTTTGACAAGGGTGTGACTCTTCAGCCTTTTAGAACTTTTAATCCTCCTCTGACATAAAAAGTTCACAGTATTGATGCTAAATGCAATTTTTATTTTGAAAATCTAATCAAATTGTGTTTTATTGTATTGTCTGACATACACAATTGAAACCACATATAAACACAGCTGATAAAAAGACAGATGACACACAGCATTCATGTGTCACATTAAAGTTAAACTAAAATTAATGAGGCAAACTATAGAACAATATGCAGGTGCCGGAACGGCTCATGTTTATTTGTTCAAACAATTTTATGCATGTAAAATCAACTTAGAAATGTCTCGCCACCATATTGTTCAAGAAGGACTCAGTTTTTTTTTTTCCTCACTGATGAATCTTAGTGATCAACCATAGATAGCAAAATGGCAACAATGAGTCTATACAGACATGGGCTGAAAAGCTGCTCAGCAAGGAAGAAGCCGCTAGTCTGAATCTCCCATAAAATAGCCAAATGACGGTGTGTAAAAGCACTCCAGGACAAAAGTTTTAATTTTCAGAGGCACAAATGAGGTTTAATGAAACTAAAACTAATGTGTTGCATCGTAATTAACACTTATATTTTAAAGAAAAGGGAAATATGGCGGTGACAGGCTCCTGTGTGGATGCTGAAGAGTGGGCCTATGCACTTCACAAAACAGATGGCAGGAAGTTAGACGGCACAAATGGGTTTACCAAATGGACAATATGAACACACTAACAAATTAGTTTCAAATTGACCTGAACTTTTTAAAAATCAATAAAAACTTCTTCTTTTTTTTTCATTTTTCAAGTAGAACCAAATTTGTTAAACCTGACTGATTTACAAAAGGAAAGGTTTACTCTAATTTTATGTCAGAATTTTAGAAAAAAATACTTTTGTGTTTTTATGCAACTTTTGTAATTATCCAGTAACAAGTTGACATTTCTTCAGTCCTCAGTTTTGGACTTTGGCAAAATAATCATCTACACCAGCAATCTTCGCATAATAAGAGCACCACCGAGGAAGCCTGAAATGACGCGGCAGCACTCCGTCCCTCCACTGGACTTGGAGGGATGTCCAAAGGCCAGGGATAAGGAAAGTCGGAAGAGGGCTAAAGCTCTTAAGGCACAAGAGGATGTAGAAAAAGAGGAGAATGGGATTGAAAATAAAGATACCAAGGTAATGATGCATGGCCAAGTCATTCTCAATAGTGTGGTCAGGTTTTTATCACCACATTTTTTAGTCATTTTATTTTCAGTCTCACTTGTCCTCTCTCTTATCAAATTTCACTTTATTCTAGGTTTTCAGGAATCTTACTTTAAATGTTTACCTACAAAATGTCATCAAGTTTATCTGTCGATGTCACATTCTTACCTTATAACAAGAATATTAGTTGTATTCCACTTTTCCCTCTTTTATGCTGACCTTCTTGCTGCTATAACTGTTAACCAATTGTCCCACTGTTATCTGTCTACTGTGAACAGATAGTGATGAGTCCACAGTTTTCTTCTGCCCTTGCAGCATCTGCTTGCCACTTACAAGCCAGCAAGGAGACCCAACTTGCTATTACTTCCTCCCCCTCTTGGCTGATTACTGCTCTTTCCCCACCGTCTTGCTCCATCTTTTGCTCATTGCTTTTGTTATTGCCACATTTTTGCTGCATCTGAAAGAAAGTTCATGTTGTGCTTTATTTGTTTCATAGACACAAGATAATCTTTTATCATTTTCATGTTTGCCCAAGTTTGGAAGCTGTTAATAGTTAACAATTTATAAAGAGAAATGTTACATCATGTAATTAGAATAATTGTTGTCTGACATGTTATGTGACATGTTTGGATCGTCAAGAGATAATAACTCAAACATTAACCAAACAGAGGGCAGCGCCTGTGACTCAAGTGACCGAATGGCCCCTAAAATGACTTCAACCATAGTATTAATGTGGTTGTTATGACTACAACTTATAAGCCTGTTACTTACAACCCAAATTCAGAATTGTAAAAGTCAGACAGGAAGCATTTCTGCAAATGAGGCCACAATAATCCATCCATCTCCCACTTGGTTCTAGAATCATTTGTAAACAACAAACCAAGATCCTTGAACCCCTCCGCTTGAGGAAGATATTATTCCCCGACTCTCTGAGGTAGCAATCCACTCTTTCCCCAGTTGAGAACTATTGTCTCAGACTTTGCGCTCATAATATTTATGAGTAACATGCAGGTTAAAAGTATGGAGATTGAAAAGGATGTTCAAGCATGACTTGTGTTATAAATTTTCACAGATGATGCCACTTATCCCAGCAAGTTTTGAATGCATTTCATTGAATTTATTGTGCTGAATAACAATAGCGGAGAGTATTTTATAACCTCTTTGTTCTGTCAATCTACATGGATACTTTTCATTTGTTCAATATTTACTGACAGTGTAGTTGTAAGTAAGAAAATTGCTATATACTTGTGCATTTTCCTAACACATACCTATTTAAGACAGACACTGATTAAAAATGTCTTTGGAAAAAATCTTAAGTCATTAAGTTTCCTTGAGTTTTCCTGAAGGTGGGTCACTCACACTGGGCAGCTGTATTAACATTTGTTAATTATGAACTGGCCTGGGGTTGGGATTAATCCATTTTGAAACAGCTGTAAAACAAACTGTACAATGTAAAACTATAACTGCGTCAGTTCATGGAATGGAGGACAGATGTAGATCATTGAAAAGCACTAAACCACAGACTGACTTCTAATAACTAAAAAGCAGGACCACCACACCAAGTTCTGTAATAAAAACAAATCATACGGCATTGCCCTGTCCTTGACCTTTCAAGAATCCCCCATCTTTTGCTTCTGCATTGTTTACCTGCTTCTTATTTTATTTCCCCATCCATCCAGCCTCTTCTAGCCCTTATTCACCCTTTGCTTTACCTCACAGTTTCTCTCTCCCACTTCCTATTTTCTCCCCTAAAGTGTTTGCTCTGTCTCCAGGAGGCCGACAGCTGCCAGCATTGTGGTGGTTCAGGCTGCGCTCCGTGCTCCCTGTGTCATGGCAGCAAGCTGTCCATGCTAGCGAACCGCTTCAATGAGTCCATCAGTGATCTGCGATGCCAAGCCTGCTACCCCGATGGTCTGGAGAGGTGCCAGTCCTGCTCCAGTAAATAGCACCATTTGGCCAGTACCCATGTCTGGCGATGAGAGTGCAGCGTGTGACCGATGCGCTATCGCCTTGTCAGAACTGCCTCAGCCGCAATACTGCTTTAATCCCAAAATGTTATAGGTGGGATGTTTCAGAGCTCTACAAGGAACCATAAGCCATGAGAAGACAAGGGAATATCTGTTCTGCAGACACAAAAATCACGAAATAACAATTACTGTGTGCAGTGAATGTTGCATGAGATAACACAAAAACATAATCCCTTTTGTTGCCGTCACTTTTTTGCATCTGTGTGCCTGTTCTCTGTAGAACCTGGTTCAACAACCTTGATATAATTTTAATTAATATGAAAAATGTTGAGGTTAAATGTTCTTTTTCCCAGTTTATTAATCAGAGAGAATGTAACCTTTATCATGTCAAAGTGATGTATTCTTCAAAGCTAATTACTGTTTATTTTTGTTAAACAGGAGAAAACACAACACTGAAAATAAGGACGTAGTGTGAAAAAGTGATAGTGTGAAAGAAAAATGTTTTCTAAATAAGGTATTTTAGATCAACTACTTTTAAAAAAGAACATTTTGTAGTTCATCAAGCTAACAGTACAAATGGTTCATGTTCTATGTTCAAAATGCTGTTTTTATACTATAATGGCACTATTTCATACATTAAGTCCAACATGCCCATTTGCTGCACATGCAATTTTCTTTTGCTCATGCAATTTAGCACTCCTTATTTGGAATCTTTCTTGATCACACCCTAAAACAAAAATCACATTGTCTGCACATTTTTTTATTAAAGTATATGAAGTGAATGTTGTATTATGTCAAGCAAAGCACTATTTTTAATGTACAGTCTAGCTAACAGATCACTAGGTTATTAGTAATTAATATCACTAGGGATTTCACAATGTACAATATATAAACAATTATGCACGGTCAATAAAAGAGAGAAATTACAGTTGATGTAGTGGTTGGTGAGTGATGGGCCCCAAATCTAACGCTGCATTCAATCCTCAAAACAACTTGAGGATTGAACTGTTCTGAACAAGAAATACTATGAGCCAGTTCAGGAGGATTCTGGATTGTTGCTATTTTATCAGGTTGAAGATGGAGTGGGTAGAAAATGGGGAAAAACTAATATGTCTTCTATGCTGTAACAATTCTGTCTTGGATTTGAACCTGTAGACAAACAGTTTAATATAAGTGAATTATTATATAAAGTATTGCTCCTGTACCAAACTCTGAGGATCTTTATTCATCCTGTACCTCTGCCTATCCTTATCAACATTCAATAAAGACTAATTATTGCTGGTAGTATTACCAGTAACACAAATCCTGCTCTGAGTAGGAGTCTGATAAAGCTTTCCACCCATGTTCAAAGTCCAGTAATACGTTCTTACGCATCAAACTTCAGCACGATAAAGACAATTTGCATTAAAGACACAAATCAATATTTGTCAGTCGTTACTGCTCAACTTTTTAGATGTTATTGGGATTCTAAAAATGGGAAATAATGTGGATGTTCTCTTCTGTTGGTGAGATCTTCTGGGGTGCATAGAGTAAGCAATGCACAAACCATTAGAAATGATTGAATCGGAGAGTCTTGCAGCTGTTTTCAACCTAATACTTTAGAAGCGAGGTTACTGTGACTCATTGGTGACAGAATAAGTGGGTCGAGGGCTGCATGGAGGAGCCTACCTGGAAGCAGTAGAAGCTTATCATTAATGTATGGTTTGCATGCACCTGTGTTACTCTGACATCAGAGAATTTGGAGGCAGATCATCCAAGGCTACAACCTAATTACACCTACACTGTTTTACAGCAAAGCTGATTTATTGAAATGCACCGTAATTGCAATGCATTTTGGCTCTACAACACACTAGATGCAACATCAATGAGTTTGCCCAGCAGCTTTAAATGTATACATTTTCAAATCAAACAGAAATACCTTGACTATGCTTAAGTCCCTTGTATATGCAGATTGGCGGTCACTGCACTGCACATAGTAAAGAGCTCTACACACCTCTAAACTGCACATAGGTGGACAAAAAAGTTTTTTTTTCTTTTAGGCTGCAGTTCAAATGCAATGTCAAAAAGAACAGAAGCAGAGTGAGGAGGAAAAAGGATGAGTAGCAGCTCATAGAGGTTACAACTTTCCAATGACTACAATTCCTGAAAGATACACGTAGGCCGTAATGCAAATTGTGCAAAATAACAAGGTCTGCTGAGCTTCATCTGCACAGGAAACCCTCACGCTGTTAATATCCTGATGAAAATGCTGATAGCCTTTCTCCATTTTTGCTCTCACACTGACAGTAGGTTTTACAAATTCAAAGAAGCTTTTCGATGTTCACGGATAGGGCGTTAATCTATTGCAAAATTAACACTGTTACAGCACAACTTCAATGCTCACAAATATTCAGCCATGTCCTCCAAATTGCTGACTGTTCAGTCTTTTAGTTCCCATGTGATATTACACAGCCTTTGAAGAAGATTTGCCACCTTGGTAACCAAATTCCTAAAACTGTGAGATTTAGGACAGAGAACATCAAATTTCCATCACTGGCAATCCTTCTGAATATTTTCTGAAGCATTTTAATATAATTAAGAGTTAGTTTTCTTACACACTTAAATTACAAATTGCCTAAAGATAATAATGGGATTACTGGCCAATAATTACAACCATGTGCTGTTAATTCATGGATTACTGCTTTTCAACTTTTGTCAGAGCTTAATATAAAACTTTAGAAATCTTTACTATTTTTTTAACATGCATGATACCTCTGTTATGCTCTAGCATCATGATCAAATTTGTATCATAGTGGATTATAAACAATAAGCAATAGGCTCAGATTTATTGTTGACCTTTATACATTTGATTTTCTCAAGGCCTCCTTTGAGCCTGAAATGTCAGTTTCTTTTTGTAATCTGTATTCAGCAGTGAGAGATGCATCATGGAGATAAAGAAAGTTTAATGATAATGCTCGATATGTAATTCTGGAATGTTTCTTTTTTTTATGACTAACATTGTATGAATATGCTAATAGCTTTTACTATAAATGGCACACAACCACAAATGCATCACTGCATAATTACATCTAATTACACCTTACCCATTCCTGCTAAAATTAGAGGCAGTCAATCATGTTTCTATTGTATTCTGGGAAACTTATGAGAAAAATATTTTATGTTCTTACTATGTTTTCATACCTCAATATCTGTGAGGGAGTTTTATGTTTTCTCTGTGGTGAATGTTAAGTTAACCTGCCAGGAGCCATCATAAACCGGAAAAAATACGATTTAAACATCAGTTGATGTTATTAATCACAGCGGACTTATTTTTTTAGCCAGAGGGTATTTTCTTTAAAGTTACACAAACAAGCCAGGGCTAAAATTTGTAAAATTCAGTATGTAAACAACATATGAACTGCACTGAGCTGAAATGAGCTTTTTTTTTTCCTTTTCTGCATCAAGATAAAAGATAATCAATCAAAACTAATAATAATAACCAAATAATAATTCAATGAACTCCTCAAGGCTTCCATGTCACAACCCTCACCTGACCAACCACCTGGAGGGTTTTTAAACCCATTATCCTCACATTACTTGTGGACCTTTCCTTGCACAGGTAATTTCCATTTTTACTTTTATTGTGTCACCAAACCCGCATTCTGATACAGAGATAGGAATATGGCCGAGGACATGTCTGGCCAAGAGCTCAAACACAAATCAAATTACAGCAGACCTTTGTTTTCTTTTCCTTTGACCTCTCTGCTGCCAATATGGACATTAAGGCTGCGCTTTTGAACTTTTTAACCACCATTCTCACTCTTTATTCCACTGGGCAACCAGTATGGTAGAGAATTGGGTCACAAAACTGTTCTTGGCCTCTCAAGTTCTGTGTTGCTCCAAAGGGATAAGAGGGAAAGGTAAAGGACACTCCAATGTCAAAGCAAATACACTATGTTTGCTGTACTTAGAAACTGGAACCTAAACTGCACAACATTTTTTTAAGTTTATTGAATTCTGTCACTCTAAGAATAAGAATAAATTATGAGTTTTCACTCTCTGTAAACCTTTATCAAAGTTACTAAAAATAAAGGAAATCTATATCAATGAGTTTAATTTTCTGAAATGAGACAAATTACTGTAGAGCTTCATGATATTCAAATTATTTTAAATGGACCTGTAGATCACTACACATGTGATGGGCAACTTCATTTTCAAATTTGATCTGTCCCAGCAGTTTTTTGCTTAAAGTCTGCCACCCACCTTGTTGGAGCAAACTGTCTATAATCGCTACACAACAGCCCTGAGTTGGTTTGTGAGATGGTCTGTGACTACCTTACTCGATGTCTCAGATGTGTAACAGCAGCTAATTGATTTCAGCAGTCAGCACACCTTCATCCAAGTACACAGGCACTACGCAAAATGGGAATGCATCAACACATTTTATAAGTGGCAGAAGGATGTTTCAGAATATAAACTTAATGTCAACATTTATTTCTTCATATTTGAAACCCATCACTATACACTCCTCGTCCGTATGAGGCGAGATAACGAACAGTGTGAATGCAACTTTAATGTTGCATTGTTTTATTGAAAGAGAAATGCGTTCGGGTTGTTTATGAAAGCACAAAAAGAACTGCCCTGAAAAGTGCTGCTTGTGAAGAGTTGCAGGCTGGATTTGTGCTCTATAATTATGCATTGGTACACTAAGTCACACAGCTGAGTGGCTCACAAAAAGTGATGAAGAGTAGCACCACATACCTGTCAGCTGTACAAGTACTGCTGACAGTAGATATGATCAGTCAACTTTGTTTTTGCATAATAAAAACAATACATTAAGAGGAAGCATTATGCTGTTAGCCTAAAAAGTGTGCTACAGTAATTTGCCAAGCACAGACCTAAAAACAGATCCATCTCATT